TCAATCCTCTGCCATTTAGGAGTTAAATCCCTTTGTTTATGAACCCTAGTCACACCTCCCTGCATGTGACTTACACAGCCTTCCATAAACACTTTGTGTAAAGAGAGCCCTATTTAGGCTTTCTTTATTGCAAGTTCTGTTTAATTAATATTTTCTTATCCCTGCTATGTTAATAGCTTGCTAGACCCTGCAAGAGCCTCCTGTATGTGATTAAAGTTCAATTTAGAGATTGAGATACAATTATTTAAGGTAAATTACATCTGTTTGAAAGTGAAACCAGTTTTTTTTCATGCAGGCTCTGTCAGTCACAGCCAGGGGAGGTGTGGCTAGGGCTGCATAAACAGAAACAAAGTTATTTAACTCCTAAATGACAGTGAATTGAGCAGTGAAATTGCAGGGGAATGATCTATACACTAAAACTGCTTTATTTAGCTAAAGTAATTTAGGTGACTATAGTGTTCCTTTAAGTATTAAATCAAGATGGAAGACGATCATAGACTCAAATATAGAAGTTGGCTCATGGGCTGTATTTGAAAATCATTTTCTCAGGATGATAAATGACAAGTGTCTAAGAATACAGGACTCAAAATGTTTTCATCCCACTAGCCAATGAGTGAGTGAACATTTCTCCCTGGCAAATAGAAATTCCACTCTTGTGAGTATGTCATAGACTCTCCAGGCAAGTCATTTTTAGGCTTGACTAGTAGGGTAGGATTTGAAATTGTGATCCCACCCCCTCTCTTTTTAAAAAATTAGTTTATTCATGCTTTTTTATCAATTTAACAAGACAAACCAATAAAGACAATTGTACATACTAATTGATATGAAGTATAACTGGCTGCGGATATGCACCTAAGACATAAACAATAAATAAGGACACTGACATAAATATAATAGAGACTACAGTGTCGAGATCAGGATTCCACCCATGGAGGCATTATTTCACAAATGATAACTTATAAGATAATTTTACTTTTGTCTTATAATCAATCCAAGGTTTCCCCAAATTGTGTTGTGAGATAAACTTCCGAGATGCAGATATAAAATTACTTTGCATTGTGCTAGGCCTATTCATTCCAGTGAAAAGTCCTCTTAAATGACAATTGTCACCTTTTAATATATTAATCCTTTCAGCAAGTTTTGAAAGAAAAAAGATTTGTTGTTTTTTTTTTAAATGAAGTGTCGGTAAAAATACAGAGAAAAATGCGTCCTCACCTTATAGGATAGGATCTTTCATCCACATACATGCACCTTTAGTCAGACAGTGTATGAATAGTTAGTCTCTATGGTTTTCCCTTCTTCTGAAGAACTGTCTGTCTATTTTCAAAATCTGTCCAACCAAAGGTGCATGTATATGGCTGAGAGATAATGTCATATACTAAAAGTAATTCCAAAATAATATATATGAACAGAACCTACCAACCACACAAGGGTGCAAAGAATCCGGTTCTGCCCAAACCAGCTTAAAAAAGATCTCAGTTGAGATTGAAATGTTGCGTGTTTTTCCAATCAAACTGCTGCAAAAGTTATCCTGAGTGCCTGTACCACCTTTATTGTCAAACCAGTGTATACTCGGGAAAGTATAAAAATAAATTCCAGCACTTGTTTTTGAAAGTAATGTCCCTTTATTCAGATGCCTAAAGTGTAAAACAGCAATGTTTTGACCCCTGCAATGATCTTTATCAAGATGAAAGGATTGATGAAAGAGGTGACGGTTTACCTTTAATGCTAAGGAATACAAAGACATTTTCGACAAGTGTGTACTTCTACTTATTGGAAACCCAACTGTAAGCTAGGCCTTCCAAAATCAGTACCAGACCTTACAAACATACTTTTGTCTTAATGGGTCTCACACACACAATCCAAAATTAATCTTATGGAAAGGTATCCCAGAAGCGTTGAAGTTTTTATAGCCACAAATAGAGGGTTGGGGACAACACCATATTAATGAACATGGTTTTGGATGGAATGTTCAACAAACTCATATCGTTTGGTTTTAGAGAAAAGACAGATTTACATTGCTGCCTAGTAACACCTCTAGTGGTAGACACTTAGACAGCCACTAGAGGTGCTTCCTATTCCAGTGCTGCACAGTGTGATGCAGAACGCTCCCCGCAGAGATGCATCTTTATAACGAGATGCTGATTGGTGCAGTGCAACTTTTTGCCGCGCAGGTGTGATAGCTATTCATGGTGAGACTGGAGCGGCAGTGAAGAAAAGGTACGTAAAATGAACTTTTCACTACACTACTTATCAGTAAGTACAGTATTCCTTTAACAACAGACAATTTCAGATGGCAGTGCCACATTTACATCAGCAAGCTGCATATTACAAGTATTGGACGGTGGTGATGTGTTTTTCTATGCTTTTAGATCATACAAAAGGTTGAGAGCTTTACCTACTATTGCAGTGGAATCTGGGCTTGAAGACCTGTTAGGTCAATTTCTTTCTATTTTAGTTATTCTGTTAATATGACTCCTGAAAAGAGATAACATAGTGACCAGTTTAGCAGACTAAAATAGAAACAGATTTTATGTATCTGAAGAAAAAATGAAACTGATGACGAATATGACCTCTGTACATTTCTGATAAGCAGATACAGTCTGCTCAATGGGTCATCACATCCAATTGATTCTCTTTTCCTTGGTATATTCCAGAGAGATCATTAATGTCCTATTGCTGTCTACTTTTTCTGTTCTTTCCTATTTTTTTCACTGTTTAATTATCATGTCCCAGAGCTTTAACTGACGAAGATCATTTTCTGATTCAGAATATTTCTGTATAGCAGCATACGTGCGCACTATTTCTAATGTTTCCTCCAAGAGTTATTCTATCTCCCTTTGCAAACTGATTATTTTCTCAGGCAGAGGTGCATTAAGGTAAGACTATGATGTCAGTGTTATTCTCAGCGTAGTGGATGCGTGCGGTTGGTATCTTGATTTGCAAATACCTGTTTATTAACTGTGACATTGTGCTATTTCTTGTTAGCACATGCCTGTACTGATTAGGAATATATTATTATGAACCAGATAATTCAGAATAATACATGCCATACGAATAAAAATAAAATGATGTGTGAAGATGCACTCTTGTTAATTGTGTGAAGGCTTAGGGCATATTTTAAAAAACTCTGACTCTAAAGGAATATAAAAAAAAATCAAAAGTTGAACTTTAATGCTCTGTTCTAAAAGATAAGCAAGCCTTTGGTTATTGATTAGCAGTTTTTTTTATAAATGTCAAAGGGAGAGTTGTTGTTCAATTACCAGAGTTAAATTCATCTGTTTTTATTTAGTACATAGTCCCATCTCTGGTAATTGGAAAGTACATTTTCCAAAGATGTGAATGACAGAAACCACTGTCCCTTATGCAACAAAGTCTAAAAGGAACACAATATATGTGGACGAAACATTGACCTACTGAAAAATACAACACAAGACACACATTACAGAAAGCAAAAAAAAGTCTTGCCAAAGATGTTGCACTTTATTGAAACACACAATGGAATATTCTAACACATTGGTCAGTCTATGTCTGTTTGTAGAGGTCAATAGGTCTACAATCAATAGGTGTACAAAGAACCTTACTCCCTCCGCTGTTCTATGCTCATTTGCAACTGCTACAGTGAAAAAGGTTTCTGTAAGAACAATACACCATAAAATGTGGTGTGGGGATCCAGGAGCTGTAAATTGGAAATGAGATACAAGTAATAAAAATTAATGCAAAATGAAATTCAGATAATTAGTAATAGATAAATAGACGAGTATAATATTCAGAATAATATGCAGGTTACTTATTGATAAAATGACTGCAATTGAAAAGTCCAGAAAATGATATAGAACTAGGATTGCAGAATGTGAAATATATAAATAATCCTGAGGAATCTATGAGTCCTTGATTTATATCATAAATAACTTAAGCCCTGCTTATGAAAACAACACAAGGCTTAGTGATATCTATGCTTTTAATATACTTTCATATGTATAAAAGATATTGGAAGTATATGACCGGGAGTATTAGTACAAGGAACTGATAGCCCATATATAATCTTTGATGATGACAAAGTGTACAACAATAATAATGCCAAAATGCAAAAAAGAAAAAATCAAAATTAAAAATATAAAAAATATAAAAGAGTGACTTTTAAAACAGATCAGTTTATTCAATAAAGATCACCGCTACGGAATCTGTTGGCGCTATATAAATGGTAATAATAATAATAATAATAATTAAAAAGCAGTTCCAAATATATAAAAAATAACGATCAAAATTAGAGGCTGGCATATAGTCTGATATGTAGAGAATGAAAAAAGAAAGATAACTTGTATTCCAGACCCGGATGGATGAGGATTGTGGTAGAGGTGTTCTCTCTGTGTTCTAGCAGCCGGTGAGGGCGGCATGCGTGTCCCCATGCGTCTGACCTCTGACCTCACATCGAGAGGTGAACTCCGGTCTTGCTGGATGACGCCGGTATTGGGTCTGGGATCCTAGGTGATCGGGAATACTTACTGTGCAATCTCTACTCGGCAAATGCTCCTCTTAGTTGGATTGTTTGCTTTGCCTTACGAGTTTTGTAGGGTACTGCCCTACTTCATCGGAGGCTTCTAATCTGCACAGTCTATGACAGTCTATATATACAGATGTACAATTCACTAATTACACATTTATAAAGTGTTCAATAAAGAGGTTTCTGCTCTGCTCCGGTCCTCCTGCCCCACTACCTGTTACCTCGGTCTACAGGATACTGCTCTCTCCTCATGCTCCTCCTACCTCTCCCAGCACTTTTTCTGTGTTTCTTTTTCTGGCTCTGCCTCTTCTTCCCAGCCCCTCTCTGTTTGTGTTACCCAAGGTTCTGTCTTTGGTCCCCTACTTTTCTCGATCTATATTACCTTCCTCGGTAAACTCATCAGTTCATTAAGCTTCCAACATCATCTCTATGCGCATAACACACAAATCTATCTATCCTATCCTGATCTTTACTCATGCACATAATGCTGCTCCAACCTCCCTAATACACAACTATGTCTCATCTAGGCCCCTAAGCCAAAGATCTATCCTCTGATGCTCGCCTTCAAGACTTCTTCAGGGCTGCACAGTTCCTGTGGAACTCCCTTCCATTCTCTGTTGGACTTTCAACTAGTCTCCATTCCTCTTCAGGAAAGAATATCAATTAAACTGTTAACAGCTTTCCCTCCCCGCACCATGATTCTTCTCTTGCAACTGTCATAAAAAATAAATCACCCATTAAGTCCTCAGGGAATACTTTTCTATCAACCCAGTTTTCTACCCCTACCCTTACCCCTTGTGTCACTATATCCAACTCCCTCTAGCAAGAAAGCTTATTGAGCAGGGCCCTCAACCCCTCTGTTCCTGTGCCTCCAATTCGAAGGTCATAAGTTAGTGTCGGATAGTCTAACTATTGTACAGCACTGCGGAATTTGTTGGTGGTTTAAACATAATAATAATAATAATCTGTGATGTGTATGGGTCAGTATGTGTGTGTTTGTCTGGGTCAGTGTGTATCGGTTAATCTGTATTTGGAAAGTGAAACAAAACCAAAAACTGTAAAAAGTGCTCAGTGAAGAATGTTTCACGTCATTGTATTATATTGTGTTATATTGTTACTTTTCTTTTCAATCTCCAGACACAATCTAAGCGTCACTTCACACTGTGGGTGCAGGAGAAATCTTATGCTCTGTTGCAAACAACTTACTGGCAGCCTGGAGAACTCATATTTCCCAGAAGCTTCCATTTCCAAGGGTGTGCTTAGCTTTCGTCTACACTTTCCTGGCTACGAATAAACTGTTTTGTTTGAGCAATGATTTTCCGTTCCGATGTGTGAGTGATAACCATATCAACTTTTAAAACATACAAATCCAGTAATGAAAGTCTTGAAAAGCTAGTACGTGTGTATTAAAGTATTCCTCACTCAGATTGTTATCTGAAACAGGTTTCATGCATTTCAGAAGAATCACTGAGATCATTTAAATTCTTCTCTTTAACACACTTAGTGACGGTAAAATCAGCATAGTACATGTGTGTTAGATTAACTGCTGGGCTGACATCAACGTCTGTGCTGAGTTCATGCATCATCTCTGACCCCAGGCATAATACCTGTATATTATTAACACAGACACTGGTAGTGCACTGATCATTTTGCCACTTGCTCTACATTTACAGTATCTCACAAAAGTGAGTTCAAATATTTTATTATATCTTTTCATGTGACAACTCTGAAGAAATGACACTCTGCTACAATGTAAAGTAGTAAGTGTACAGCCGGTATAACAGTGTAAATTTGTCGTTCTCTCAAAATAACTCAACACATGGCCATTAATGTCTAAATGTTGGTAACAAAAGCCCAATTAGCCCAATTACCTAAGTATGTAATAAAGAACATTGTACAAATATTTTGGGGCACAGTCATTGTATAATGCCCCTCAAAATTCCGCCTGGTAACTTACCAATTTATATACACAATCACCCACCAAGCTGCCATGCAAATGTCTTGAAAACACCTCTCCCATTGGCTTGTTTTGAATGATTATACTGATTACAGTTCCCCTCTCTTATTATAGTTATTATTATCAGTTGTGTCCAGAAAGCATCTTTTGACTATTTCTCTGTACTTTCCCCTATTTCTATACATAGGAATCCCACCAAGTCAGTGTCAACAGCCCATGGCAATTTGCAAAGTGTTTGGTGGAAATGTTAAAAATTAGCCTTTTGATGGACACATTTATATATACAATTGGTGGAATAAGTCTATTGCTACATATACATTTTACATGCTCCTATGTTGCCTGTGTTTATGTTGCACTGTAGTGGTTATACCTTGGCACCCCCAATAGTTACTAGTAAAACTGTCTTAGAATTGTTTGACTTCTCCTTGTGGTTCACCGTGCTCTGTTTCCTGACTCCACTACTTTTTATGGAGATCCAGAAGCTTTGAAGAAATCCACAGGTGAAACGCATTAGTATAGGACTCTAGATGTGGTATATAACTAATTTTTATTGTGTTTCAATTTGCTGTACTATGTGAATAAAACTAGATTTACCTGATAACCATCATGTGAAGGCTTCTTCATTACTGTTCTTGAATTCTTCCCAAATGGTAGGAACTATACCACCTAAGCCTATTTATCGAGTGTCACGAACGCACCCTACTCCAAGAGTGTGCGTGACGTAGTTGTGGTGGTGAAAGGGACAAAGTTCACTATTTTTCTGCACTATACTGGATAAAAATCCCCCTTAACACCACCCACACTTAACCATAATAATATAAATATTATTATTTTAAAGCTGCCACCACCAAGACATTTTATAAATGGGGTGCCTTGGTCCTCCAGATAACATAATAAGAAAAACCCACCAAATACAACTTAGCACAATACCTATGCAATTGCAAAACACTCATTAATTAGTCTCTTTAGGTAATGTGATTCTTTGCCAGACAAAGGCATAACTTAATAAAGGAATATTTATTATGAACAAAAAATAGTCGCAGTGCATACACAAAATAGATGATAAACAAATAATTTACACCAACAACTGATAAAAACAAAAGGGATTAAATAACAGAAGTCCTAATCACTTACTCAGGTTTTCAAAGTAAAACTTGTGCCCAGAGGGTCTCTGGCAGGAAAGATGGTGACTCACTCAGAATTAGTTTTTTTGCCCCAATCAAGTACAATATACACTTCAGTGTCATTAGATTAGATACCCTGTGGATTACCAAGCCTCATCCAGAGGTGGAGGTACCAACATCAATCCAAATAGAAATATTTGGTTCTATCTCCTCTTATGTACTTGCCACAGAAATAATAATTGCATCTATGAATTTGTTACCATTTTTCCATTCCATAGATATGTCACACTCCTTACTTGTGACCCAATATAACAGACATCACAATACCTTCCCCTATGGCTAAGTTATGCAAATCATGTTTGGGTTTGATTAGAAGATTGTGTTTGTCCCATTCTAAATATATTAAAAATGAGGCTTAATTATTAATCTGTGGGTAAGTATTAATGTTTATTTTGGATATGATACTGGAACACAAGGCTAATGGCCATAACATATCAAAGGAACCAACTCATCAATTATGAAATTATGCACCCTTGGTGTGCACCAAGAGCAATTGTGTGCTTTGGAATCTGTAAGTAGAAAATATTGACATATTTTGCTCTTGTGTACAGTTGTGCTCAAAAGTTTGCATACCCTTGGAGAATTGGTAATATATGTACCATTTTTAAAGAAAACATGAGTGAGCAGGCAAAACACATTTAGTGTATTTCTTATGGGATTTATATTTAACTGTAGGTTATAACAGAATGGTATAATCATAAAACAAAACATGGCAAAAAAAAATAAAAAAATGAAATGACTCCTATTCAAAAGTCTGCATATTCTTAGTTCTTAATACCGTGCATTGCCCCTTTTAGCATCAATGACAGTGTGCAGTCTTTTCTAATAGTTGTCTATGAGGCCCCTAATTCTTGCAGGTGGTATAGCTGCCTTCGTCTTGGAAAAATGCGTCCAGGTCATGCAAAGTCTTTGATCATCTTGCATGACCCACGAGTAAGAGATCTCCCCAGAGTGGCTCGATGATATTAAGGTCAGGAGACTGTGATTGCCACTCCAGAACCTTCACCTTTTTTTGCTGTAACCACTGGAGGGTCAACTTGGCCTTGTGCTGGAAAGTCCAAGAGCGTGTCATACGCAGCCTTCATGCAGAAGAATGCAAATTGTCTGCCAGTATTTTCTGATATCATGCTGCATTCATCTTGCCATCAATTTTCACAAGATTTCCCATGCCTTTAGAGCTCACACCTCTCCAAAATATCAGTGAGCCACCACCATGCTTCACCGTGGGGATGGTATTATTTTCACTATAGGCCTTGTTGACTCCTCTCCAAACATAGCGCTTATGGTTGTGATCATAAAGCTCTATTTTGGTTTAATCATTCAAAATTACAGTGTGCCAGAAGCTGTCATGTATGTCAAGGTGTTGTCGACCATATTGTAACCAGGCTTCTTTCTGGCAACTTGACCATGCAGCTAATTTTTGTTAAAGTATCATCGTATTGTTCTCTTTAAAACAACTACACCATCTTTTTTCTGAGCAACCTGTATTTCTATGGAGGTTACCTGTGGCATTTTCTTTGTATCCCAAATAATTCTTCTGGCAGTTGTGTCTCTTTCTTGGTCTACCTGACCTTGGCTTAATTTCAAGAGATCCCTGAATTTTCCACTTCTTAAAAAATGATTGAACAGTACTGACTGGCATTTTCAAGGGATTTGATATCTTTTTTTATTAATTTCCATCTTTATAGTGTTTGATTACCGTGTTACGCAGGTCTTTTGACAGTACTTTTCTGCTCCTCATGGCTTAGTATATAATTTGCTCAGTTCATCCACATGAGAGCTACAGGTGTGGAAAATTAAACTTTAATTGCCTTTTTAATCTGTGTGTGTCACCTTGTGTGTCTGTAACAAGGCCAAACATTCAAGGGTATGTAAACCTTTGATCAGGGCCATTTGGGTGAGTTCTGTAATCATTTTGATTTAAAAGGAGCCAAACAACTATGTGATAATAAATGGCTTCATATGATCACTATCCATCAATAAAATTATTTTTTTGCATAAATAGTCATATTTTCAAAATCAATTCCAAAATTTCACAATTTCTGCCAGGGTATGCAAACTTTTGAGCACAACTGTACATACTTCCCTTTTGGAGTTTTTCTCTCCATTCATTTCATGCATATTGAATATAGATAAAAACACTCCTTATGACCGTATAAAGCAAGATCATCAATATATATCGAGGATAGTGATTATATCATCGACACTACTGCCATCTTGAGCTTGGATAAGCTCTCTACAGAAAGAGTGAGTCTTTGGCATAGTTTAGATTTTTTATATACATTGTGTATACATATTGCTTTTTTTTAAATTCTTTATTTTTGTAGTACTTTGCAAATTTTACAGATTAACAGAGACATTGCAATGGTATCAGAAAATATCAACTGGTAGAGTACATTACATGTCTGATTAACTGCACTTTTTAAAAAAAATTACATTATAACATCAAGATATTCATGCTTGTGAAACGTATGATAGGTGATGGTAGGTTGCTAAACACAAGCTAAGCATGCTCAGAGAGGTTAGAAAGGCACTTCAGAACTTTTGCACATTTTGTTCCTAAATACAATCTTATCCTTCCTATCTAACCAAGGAGGTGGGATGTCGATTTAATATTCTCAGGTGTAAGAGGGCCCCCCTAAACTTATAAGCATGAGACATAATGAGGAATTGTCTGCTTAGTTAACTTCGAAGAGAGGTAGTCTAGGCTGAAAATACACACTGCAGTTTAAATGCTAAACAATACTGTTGTTACCTTACTAGGTGCTGGTAGCCTGCTTCTAAGTTGGAAGTAAATCCATGTTTCCCTACATGTTAACATGGGGAAGCTTATGGGCTATATAGCAGTATACATACATATCGAACTCAGAGAAAAAAAACATATGAAAAATACCACTGGTTAAAAATGACCTGGAAGGCATATATAGCTCTAGTACTTGTGGCTGACAGGTTGCGGAGTGCTGTCAGTTCAGCCTATGCCCGATAGGTAAAGTCCCGATAGCCAAGAATAGTGTTCACTAATCTCCACCAGCCTTGTGTCTGAACTCCGTACCTCTTTGTCACCTCGCTCTTCCCCCTTGTACTCGCTTGCGGAACCTGGTTCTGGGGTCTGTCACCAGACGTTGTTTTGTCGTGATGGGTAGGTACCTTCTGCCGATCCGTGGTCCTAGTGGTTTGCGGCTCACCGGAGTTCTGGAATTTCGTTGGTGTCGCTGTCGTCTAGGCGTCCACAGCTTGATCTTGCTCGGGTGAACACGTATCGGTGCTGTGGTGATGGTCTTCTGCAGTCGGTGATGGGCTTGCGCTGGTGAGGTAGGGGTACATGAGCGGTTTGCCATGCGGACCCAGAATTCACTGCATATCTTTTCAAATCTGGCTTCAAAGCCCCGTCTCCAGTCCTGGAGTGCCATGCTTTCTTGTCGCGGTGGGAGCCATTTTGGGTCTGCCACGCGGTCTCAAGCTCAGTGGCTTCTAGGCTATGCTGGTCGTTAGTGTGTCCAGTAGGGACCAGGATAACCCCCACCGGTCCAGAGGGGGGAGGGGAGGTGTAGCTGCATTTTAATGGCTGTGCTTCAGGGTGCTGGGTCCCGGGTGGGAGATCGGCTGCCTCCCCCAGCCATCGGGTCCACAGTTCCAGCAGGCCGCAGGGCCAGAAGGCCAATTAGTGTGGAGTTTATGTAGTTTGGGGAAACCACAGTGTCCCCAGTCGTTAGAGGTATCTGTTGCGCTGTTTTTTGAATCTTCTGCTGCTATGTTTGCTCGATTTTGTTAGTTTTTAAAGGTATCTCGGCAGGAACTCCCACAGAACACGTCTGGCCATCTTGTGAGTAAGGCCCCGTCCCCCTCATATTGCTCTTTAATCTGTATTTATGTTTATATATTATGAGTGCATATCTTGCTAATCTTTAGAAGAATCCTGGTATAAATGTATAAAGAGATGTTTAATTGGTAAGTCACGTATAGTTACTATAGGTACGCCTTATCTCCACCTCTGGGCGAGGCTTAGTTATCCACAGGGTATATATTCAATGATACTGAAATGTGTATTTGTACTTTGCTTGGGGTGCCAGAATCTAATTCGAAGTGAGTCACCACCTTTCTTACCAGAGACCCCCTGGAGCAGAACTTTTACTCTGAGTAAGTGATTAGGACTTCTGTTATTTTATCCTGTTTGTTTTTATCTGTTGTTAGTGTAGCTAATTTAATTGTCATCTATATTTTTGTATGCACTGTGACTATTTTTTGCTCAAAATAATATATTCCTTTATTAAGTTCTGTCTTTGTCTGGTAAAGAATCATGTTATCTAAAGAGACTAATTAGTGTTTTGCAATTGCCTAAATATTGTGTTAAGTTATATTCGGTGGATTTTTCTTATTAAGTTACCTGGCTGACCAAGACACCCCATTTATAAATTGTCTTTGTGGTGGCAGCATTAAGATAGTAATATTTGTATTATTATGTTTAAGGATGCGTGGTGTTAAAGGAGATTTTATCATTATTTCATATCTAGTGCAGACAAATAGTGAACTTTAACCCTTTCACCACCACAACTACATCATGCACACTCTTGAAGTAGGGTGGATTTGTGACAAATTGGTGGCACAGCAGTGGGATAACTAAAAACATTTTCATCTTTCTTTACCAGATTTTAGTGTTGCTGGATTTGTTGGTTAATCCAGGCACTAAAAGAAATTGTGTCTCAATTTACAGTTCCACCCCCCGTCTCTGTTTTTTCCTTGCTGTCTTTTATTTACTAAATGGAGTACCAGGCACAGTCCAAGGTAGTGCTAGACTAGCTTTGCTGGGAGTGATCTATTCCCTTTCGGGAAAAACAAAAGTGGAACTATTACAAGCACTGGTGGACTATGGTATACAGCAAACAGTGCAAAATGATGCCTCAAACACTGCAGAGGAGATACCTGCAACTTTTGTCCATGATGTGCCGAGATCTGGAGATCCCCGGGATTCTTACTTACAAACTGTGTTGAAATATGTGAACTCAGCAGATACAAACCAAAGACTAGTGCTTATCCTTAAATCTCAGGAGGCTAAAAGAGAGGCTGCTGAGCGCAAAGCTGAGAGAGAGTGTTGAGTTTTTTTGAGGGGACAGCAAATTTACACTGTTATACAGGCTCTACACTTACTACTTTACATTGTAGCAGAGTGGCATTTCTTCAGTGTTGTCACTTGAAAAGATAGAAAATGTTTACAAAAATGTGAGGGGTGTACTCACTTTTGTAAGATACTGTATGTGGGAGCGTGATGGAACCAGGCTTGCACCCAATTATGCCAACCTTTTTATGGCTTATTGGGAAAAAAAATTTACCTTTCAGGGACATGAATGGATGACAAATTTCGTTTGACCGTAAATAGACAATTTTTTTTTTTTTATATGGGGAGGCGCTGAGGAAAGCCTTTGAGAATTTATATAGTATCTAAAAAGTATTGGGATATTAAGCAAGAAATTATAGTGAGAAAATAGTAAATTTTTAGAACCTAAATATTTTTATAAAAGATGATAAGATTAAAAGTAGCATTCATTTTAAATCGGTTGATGTCAATAATTATATATATATATATATATATATATATATATATAGTAAAAATGAAAATCCAGTGCACTCCCTTATCTACTAAACAGCTACTTTGGTGCTGACAAATTTTGCTAGTTTTATTAAAAACACCTAATCTAGGCAAAAAATAATGGGGGTTTAGTTACATTATATGATCATACATTGCATAAGCCTGCCACAACGTCAATGTAACCCATCTTTAATATATATTTTAACAGAAATAAACACACGTTATAGGTGATTTTTGGTGTTTTATTCAGAGTGTCTCCCTTTGAACACATATTTTAAATATCTTTATTTAGCAAGATTTTCAACAAAAAAAATAATGAAGTTGTATGAAAAGGAACAACCAAAACTACTGACTTGAAGTAATAAGCTAAACATATCCCATCCAAATAAGAACAGTTAATAGGACAGGGAAGAAGGTAAAAAAAAATTATATATCAGTGTTTGCCTAAGATTAAATAAATTTTTTATTTGTGAGTGATTCATTATTTTACTGTTAATATGTAGTGATGTCCCGAACGGTTCGTCGAATGGTTCGCCACGGACGGCGAACATATGCGGTAAACTTTGACCCTGTACCTCACAGTCAGCAGACACATTCCAGCCAATCAGCAGCAGACCCTCCCTCCCAGACCCTCCCACCTCCTGGACAGCATCCATTTTACATTCGTTGTGAAGCTGCATTCTTAGTGAGCTGTCCAGGAGGTGGGAGGGTCTGGGAGGGAGGGTCTGCTGCTGATTGGCTGGAATGTGTCTACTGACTGTGAGGTACAGGGTCAACGTTTACCGCATATGTTCGCCATCGGCAAACCGTTCGGGACATCACTATTAATATGTTATGAGCTATAATGTACTGTGCTATTACCACTAGATGTCAGTATCAGCTAAAGCCTATTCTCGCACTGCACAGAGGATTTCTAAAGCATGGTAAAAATAATTATCACTAGCTTTGAAAAAAAAAAAAAACTGTCATGAACTGTCAATGAACATCAATATTATGCACCTTTAAAGCGCCAGTTTTACATCCAGCCGTGCAAGAAGCAGGGGCGGACTGGGAATAAAGAGCAGCCCTGGAAAAAAAATAATTATCACTAGCTTTGAAAAAAAAAAAACTGTCATGAACTGTCAATGAACATCAATATTATGCAGCTTTAAAGCGCCAGTTTTACATCCAACCGTGCAAGAAGCAGGGCCGGACTGGGAATAAAGAGCAGCCCTGGAAAAAACTATTTTTAACCAGCCCTATAATGCATCGCTTCAATATAGCACGCAAATACAGAAGTGGAAAGAAAGACTTAACATTGAAAATTCTTCCTGCAACTTGAAGGACCCCTAGACTATGTAATAGAGCAGCAGGAAATGCTAGCAGAATACTTCAGTGCTTTAGGTGTTAACTGTGTGCCCCCCAATGTATAAAACTGGTGATTTCAATTGTCACGTCTTTGAATTAGTTTGGGACCACCCCCTTGCAGTCTAATAGCCAAATAAGGGAGATATCTGCTACATTAAATGGTTCCCTAATTTGGTATCCTTAAATATGACAAATCTCCATAAGGGTACCAATTTAGGGAGTTATCTATTAAACAGATTACATTTCCAAATTAAGAAAAGCAATTCTTCATTTGATCTTTCAGCTGTTTAGTAGATAGCTGCTAATTTGCTATCCTTATATGGGATTGCCATATTTAAAGATACCAAATTAAGGAGTTATTTACTAAACCTATAACCATTCTCATACAAACATTTAATCACAGACATTCTCAGCTTCTCTACCTGTGCCTGGGAGAGCTGGGATGGATCCTCTCGCTGGGGTTCAGTGGGGGTTGCTGGGTTCACTGTGCTCTTTCTGCACAGTTCCCATCCTCAGCTTGTAGTGATACCAATGCTGGGGTGACGTCACATACCGGCTGCTAATACACCACAGGCTGTGCAAGGGAACTGTGCAGGAGGAACACAGTACATATCTCCCTCACTGCCCATCCATCCTCCTACCAGTATATTTGTGCACCTGCCAAGTGAAAGCCCCCAAAGAGCAGAGCAGTGTCAGCCACCTAGTTGCCATAGGCTAGGGCTGGCCCTGCTTTAGACTGTATGCCAATGATTTTTAACATCTGGATTAAGTAATATGGGTCAGTGTCAGGACTAGTAATGCCAATTGTAATTTATATTCAATACAATTTATTTAATACAATTTATTTTATGCATACATACACATATATTAATGCATTTGTTTTATATTAATATTTGTGTATAAATTATAAGCATAACATTTATACAAATCGTGCTTATAGTATATTTTCAGGTAAATATTAATATAATACATATATATTGATATATATGCATATGTATAATACATTCAAATCTCCTGTAAACTAAGTAAAACCTTCACACAGACACACACACTGGTCCATACACACATACACTGAGACATATTGACCCATCCACACATTAACACATTCAATGACCCAACACACACAGGCACTTATACATGAACCCATAAACAACCACAGACCCATAAACAAACACAGACATACTGACACACATACACTGACTCATAAACAAACACAGATACACACATACACTGACCCATAAACAAACACAGACACACTCACATACATATACTGACCCATAAACATAGACACACTGAAATATATACACTGACCCATAAACACAGACACACTGACTCATAAACAAATACAGACACTGATACACATACACTGACTCATAGGCAAACACAGAAACACATACACAGACACTGACACATATACACTGGCTCATAAACAAAGACACATTGACACATACATAAACACATCACAGATTCTCCCTCTACAAAGTACCATTACATGCTGCTTCCCAATGGTTTCCTGGGTCATCATTAGGTTTGCAGGTCTGGAGCTGGGTAAAAGCTGTCATTAGTCTTCTCTCCATCTTGCACTGATGGTCGATCCCCGGGATATGATGTCACTCGGGATCCCGGCAGCTTGCTACATGTCTGTTCACTGTGAGGAGTGACTATGTGATGCCGCTCCTCGCATCTACCTAGCCATTGAAAAGAAAAACCTTTTACAGCTGCTGCAGCTCTCGGCCAGCCCAAGCTTAACCGGCCCACCGGGAAATTTCCCGGTCTCCTGGTGGGCCAGTCCGGCCCTGGCAAGAAGCCCCATTTCATTTGAAAGCTGTAGTTTAAAGGACCAGTTTTACATTTGAAGATTGCTGTTTAAAGCTTAATCTTCGTTACTATATTATTCATTTACTATAACAATGTTACTATTTATACCTGAAGTATACTACTGTATAATTTTGTACTTGCAGCTACATGTAATTATTAATAATCTGGCTGATAGTATTCTGGTTGGCAAATATTGTAATTTTTATTAGACAATTGGCAGGTCTGCTCAACCATTCCACCCTTCCACCTGCCCCTCCCTCCTCCCCCCTGTCCCCTCCTTGCCACTTCTAGCCATAACTTCCTTTAAATAACTGTGTTACTCTACTCTTTAGTGCCAGTTTAATATCTACCCCTGCAAGAAGCCTCATTTAATTTTACTCAGCTCCTTTTTACATCATAATGATAACAGTAATCACCCAAAAATCTGTGATCAAAAGATTAAAATGGCAATTAAAGGTTGATTTTCCACACCTGTGGCTTTTTAAATTGCAATTAGTGTCTGTGTATAAATAGGCAGTTAGTTTGTTAGCTCTCAAATGGATGCACTGAGCAGGCTAGATACTGAGCAATGTAGAGCAGAAAAGAACTGTCAAAAGACCTGCGTAACAGGGTAATGAAACTTCATAAAGATGGAAAAGGATATAAAAAGATTTTCAAAGCATTTCAAATGCCAGTCAGTACTGTACAATCACTTATTAAGAAGTGGAAAATTTGGGGATCTTTTGATACCAAGCCAAGATCAGGTAGACCAAGAAAGATTTCAGCCACAACTGCCAAAATAATTGTTCGGGGTACAAAGAAAAACCCACAGACCTTGGGAGAAATACAGGCTGCTCTGGAAAAATACGGTGTGGTTATTTTCAAGGAGCAAAATACGATATTTGAACAAACATGAGCTGCATGGTTGAGCTGCCAGAAAGAAGCCTTTACTGTACTAATGCCACAAAAAAGCCCGGTTACAATATGCCCGACAACACCTTAATATGCCTCATAGCTTCTGGCGCACTGTAATTTGGAGTCACAAGAAGAAAATAGAGCTTTATGGTCACAACCATACGCGCTATATTTGGAGAGGGGTCAACAAGGTGTATAGTGAAAAGAAAACAATCCCAACTATGAAGCATGGTGGTGGCTTACTGATGTTTTGGGCTGTGTGAGCACTAAAGGCACGTGGAATCTTGTGAAAATTAATGGCAAAATGAATGCAGCATGTTTTCAGAAAATACTGGCAGTCAATTTGCATGTTTATGCTTGAAGGCTGCGCATGGGACGCCCTTGGACTTTCCAGCATGACAATGACCCTAAGCAGAAGGCAAAATTGACCCTCCAGTGGTTACAGCAGAAAAGCTGGAGGTTCTGGAGTGGCCATTAGAGTTTCTTGACCTTAATATCATCAAGCCACTCAGGGGAGATATCAAATGTGTGTTTCATGCAAGACAGCCAAAGACTTTGAATAACCTGGAGGCATTTTGCCAAGATGCATGGGCAGCTTTACCACCTGCAAGAATTAGGGGCCTCACAGACATCTATTACAAAAGACTGCATGCTGTCATTGATATTAAAGGGGACAATACAATTATTATTAAGAACTAAGAGTATGCAGACTTTTGAACAGGGGTCATTTATTTATTTTTTTATTTGTTGCCATGTTTTGTTTTCTGATTATGCCATTCTCTTATAACCTGCAGTTGAATATGAATCCCATAAGAAAAAAAAGAAATGTGTTTTGTCTGCGCACTCACGCTTTCTATAAAAATGGTACATATATTACCAATTCTCCAAGGGTATGCAAACCTTTGAGCACAACTGTATATAAAATGTAAAAATTGGTAGCACTCAAATAACTTTGACAAAAATAGGGAAAGTAATACTTAAATTTTATTGAGTACATCTTAAAATGTCAATGTTTTAGTTCCTCCGCTGGAACATTCATCAGGACACGTACAGAACAACATGAACCTTCCACTGGTGCAGTATATATACCCTAAATATATTAAAATAAACAAAACTTACCATCCACAGATTATTATTATTATTATGATATTTATATAGCGCCATCAAATTCCACAGCGCTTTACAATGGGTGGACGAACAGACATGTAGTTGTAACCAGACAAGTTGGCATTCACAACGCGAAAGGACCACGTCAGTGCGATCCAACTTGCAAGTGTGCACAGGGCTGCAAGCCTGAGGGGGCTTAGCACTTAAAAATCCCATCATTATCTGCCAAACTAATCTATTAAACAAAGCACTATTAATACGAAATCCATATAACACACAGGGTTCTCGCATATATTTTTTAAGTCCAGGCAAGCCTTCTGTCCTTAGACTTTGGTCATAGTGCTTTGTTCAATAGACTAGTTTGGCAGATAATGATGATAATATGCCCTTGTGTTTTTTAGTGATTTCACTAATAATTGTATACATTTTTTTGAATATTTTTATTTTTAAGCATATTAGGAATTTAGGTATCAAACTGATTTATAATAAGGCAATTGATTGCCCACGCAGGGGCTGCAACATTAATCTAACACAGTATTCCTTTGGTTGCCTGCGCAAAGGCGGGTTTGTTTTAAATGCTTCTTTT